CAACATGTACTATTTGCATTCCATAGGTAGTTATTTAATACCGCATAGAGAAATTAATCAAAATTTTTGAGTTTGGACTGCACATGCTCATCATACTAAGATTTCCAAAAAAAACTATTCAAACATTTCCATTTTTTTCTGTCACAAAACATTTTTTTCTGTCACAAAGTATATCAAAAGTTTCAAAAAGACGTGAGCACCTTCAGCGCTTCGCTTTGATACAAGCAGCCTTGTTTTTAAACTCAAATAAGGGTAGTTCAGTCTAATTTAATGGAAAAGTTTAGTGAAATCAATAATAGTTTTTGAGCTGTCTGTTAGATGCTTTGTTCTTTTCAAAATGGACCTTTTGACATATGTGTGAATATCGGAAAGTAGCGACAAACTAATCTGGTTCCAAAATCATTGGAAGGCAACTTAATGAAAATTGAAAGGCCCTGTCAGTTTTTTTGTTAAATTTGCCTCTAAATGTTTTGTGCATTTTTTCTTCTAAATAAGACTTGTGCAAATATTGAAATTTTAAAACTGGTGCAAATTATTGAAATGCCACATTGAACCTAACCCCGAGCAAAAGGTTGAATGTTCTCATTTATTTCTTATGTTGGTTTTAATTTAAGCGTTGTTTTGTAAAGTTGATTGGTTTGTGTATCAATTTCACGCAGAGACAAGGCTGATGTTAAAACCACTTGCGATACAAACAATCTGCAAGGTAAAAGAACTTTGAAAAAAAATTTAAAACGTTTATTTGTAAAACCACAGCAAAAAGTCAAAGCTTTCAAAAATAAGCACATTCAACGCATACTTAACATTCAAAAAACTCAAACTACAGGCAATGGAATGATTTGTGAAACATAAAAAATTCCGATCTTCTATCAAAAACAAAATATGTTTGTTATCAAATCACCAGTTTTTTAACATAAAAACTGCAGATACTTCAAAATGTTGAAAATGCTTTCATAAAAAATTTCGGAGCTAAATAACTTGCATTCTTGCAAGTACATCTGAAGCTGACAAAAGGTAGTCGATATATGCTGATATGCTAATAGCAAATTTAGTAGCAGAAACATGATATGCTGATAAATTTAACTGATGAAGCGTGTCGGAAGATTTTGAACGCGAACATAAGACTGAAATTTGTAATATTTTTTTTTACTTTTCAGAAAAATGTATTTAACGAGCAATTTACTGCTTTCCTAGGTCGCCCTGGTTCATCATTTTGATTTTTATGTACTTTTAAGAGGTATGCTGCTTTCTGTAGAGAAAGCATTTAGTTAACTTCTGAAATTTTTAGAGGATTTTTTACGATCAGCTCCCTCATTTTTGTTGTTATCTACACAATTTTTACCAAATAAACTGCAAAAATATACTAGTTTTTGATTGTGTTATCAAAATAGCAGCAATTTCAAATGGGCATCTATTTCCAATAATTTTACTCCTTTTCTAAATTCGTGTTTCGAATTGTTTTTGCTACGACCACTCGAAAAGTGGAAAAACTTTGGATTCCGATCGGTCTTCTTGCCAAATTTCATTATCTCAAAAAATTCACGTGTTGTATCTTCTTAAAGCCTTTTTATTTGTGATTTAGATTCTGTAATGATGAGAAAACAATTATCGGGCGAAAATTTTTCTGTCGGACTAAATAAAACAAAGTTTGATAAGAGGCTAACCTCCAATTGATAATTGAAGTTAACTTGTTTTCGGGATATTTTTTCACTTAAAGCCTAATTTAATTGCCGTTTTTGGGAAAAAATAATATAAAATTTGACAGAAAATGGCAAAAATAATTTTCTTTATGAGATTTTTTTGTCGTCAACCAGATATCCTTGACATTTTGGCAATCGTCTATTGTTTCTTTTATTATCAGGTTATTTAATTAATTTTCTCCGTAGGGTTGTTTAAACTGAGCTTTTCACTCAGTTTTTTGTACTTTGTTTCTTAGAAATTATGGTGATATGTTACAATAGGTGGTAATTTTGAGTATAGTTAAATTTGTGAACCATAATGCATAATACAATCATTTCATTTTCAGTCAACCGTACTGCTACTAAGATAGTTTCTTATTACATTACTCTGCCAAATGAGATGCTCATCAAAAATTGAACTTTCACACTTCTTTTGCGAAAAAACTCGGCGTTTGAAATAAATTAAAACTAATGTGCGAAATATAACAAAAAGCAATCCTTTCAATAATTCAACATCACTAACTTTTTCTAGTGGAAATTAAACCCAGAGGCAAAGTTGAGCTTCGCACCGCTTGCGATACAAAAATGAATGACTAAAACTAAAACCAATTGAAATTAATTATTAAAAAATTGAAAAAAGAAAAACGTCCAAAATGTCCAAAAAGGAGCTTGCGGAACTCTAGAAAGAAACCTAAAATTCGAAAAAGTTCTCTCTACGAGCTATGCCGACAAAAATAAGCAGACAAACAAAAATCAAAACTAGTCAAAAAATTTAGTTTGCAAAAAAACAGGTCTCAACTGGAATGGTACTACCGAACTTTTGTTACTGAGCTGACAAAAACAAACAGAAGGAAACAAGTCATTCAAAAATAGGTCACGGCCGAATTTAAACCACAAGTCTCTGCCGTTTCAAGAAGTTAGGCTACTTCTACGCCAGATACCGCTGCATGGTTATTGAAGTTATAACACAGGGGCGAAGTTGAGCTTCGCACCAGTTGCGACAAGAAACAAGATTGCTGCTGATTTAAAAAAACAATTTTTAAATCGAAAATGTCGAAAAGACTGAGTCAAGAACAAAAAAGACAGTAAAGTAAAAAATAGCATCGAAAGAAAACTTACCAAGGGGCAAAAAATTTGAAATTACATTAGCACAGACCTTTTTGCTGCAAAAAAATCAAAAAATTATAAAATAATTTTATTGTCTCCCTTCGCTCAAAACAGACACACACAACACAAAAAATATGGTTTGCTCGTCAAATGAACAATAAGAGGCCACTAATCTGATATAAAGCAGGTTGAAACCCTTTTAAATTGAAAAAAGTGGAGAATAAAAAGTCGAAAAATTTCCAAAAACAAGACTAATAATAAGTTATGAAGTCGCCGTCGCCTTCAAAAAACACACACACACAAAAAAAAATCTTCGCTTATTGAGTGAAAAATGAGGCCACTAAGTTGATTTAATGTCGACCGAAAACTGTCAAGCGGATCAAAAGGAAAAGAAAAAAAACAAGGATATCGAAAAAATTGTTGACATGAAAAACTAAAATTTCCATTAAAATTTTTAGCGTTTTGTGCAATCGAGAGAGGAGCTTTTAAGTTATGCTTCCTTTCTTAGCTCAAAATTAAAAGTTTAAAATTAAAAATTTAATGCTCAAAGTCAAGTCACTAAGCCGATAAATTTGGGCGGATAAAGTTTTAAAGCAAAAAAAAAAACAAATAAAAGAAAAAATACAAAGTCAAGGCTAGTAAAACAACAAACAGCAGAAGTTAATCAAAGCAATACAAGAAACTAAATTATAAATTGCGTTCAGTAGCAAAACAAAACGATTCTAAGATATGGCAACTAAGCCGACAGAAAATTAGCAGGCAAATAGTCGGCCAACAATTTTTGAAACGGATTGTTTCATTAAAAAAAACAGGTACTGTCAGATTCAAGCCTAGGACTTTTGCCGTCCCAGGCGTCATTGTTACCTCCAGACCAAGTGTGCCGCCGACACAAAAATGATGAATTGAAAATAAATTTACCATTTCTAATTTCGACCATTCTGTGAACAACGTTTTTTACGGCAAAAAAGTATAGTACCCGACTGCAACACCCTTACTTATAGAAAGGGTAATCAAACGTCAAACTATTTCCGGGACAAACGCGAATTTTGAAATTCCAGTTGATAGTCTACAACTTTTAACACACTTATCGGACATCGCATTAAATTGCTGAATTAATTCTGACCTTCAAATTTAAACTAAATCGAAATACTTCTCTGAAGTTTCGCGTCTGCCTTTTTGTCGGTATTAATTTGTTTTTTTTTGCTCTGAAAAAACATACGGCAAATTTTTGTTAATTGAAAACGTTTATTCAATTGAGCTTTTGAAATAAGGCAAAAATAAAGTTCTACAAAAAAGCGCAATCATTTTGCATTGCTCTTTTGTTTGTTCAAATGCAGTTTGAAAACTCGGTAGGGATTTCTACGCCATTCACTGCCTCAAGGTCACAATCAATTATTTTAAGAATTTCAGATTTTTTTCGACAAACTTGTTAGAACCTATAGTACCGAGAATTTCAAAAAAATCGGATGGACAAAAATAATCGAACAGAGAAAAAAGAACAAGCAATCTGCCAATTTCGAGCAATTTTTGCATGCAAATTTGAAATTTTAGGTGACCTTGAGACATACTTTCAGTCTGAAAAAATAATTTTTGCAAAAAAATTGTCTGAAAAATGTCATTTGTTCTTTTTATTTTTTTTTCTGTCCGAACTTTTTGCTACTAATTATAGACACTGGCTCTTTTTATTTATTTTTTGTCTGTCCGAACATTTTGCTACTACAGGGTGTTCCAAAATCTATGAGACTTTTGAAAAGGCTGTCATTTCTAACTGATTTTAGGTGGACTTGTTTCTACACGTTTTAGACACGTTTTGAACGAGATATCGAAAAGATTTTGCGCTGCACATCACTGAATTTCTTTTCTTGGATAAAATGAACAAGATTGAATAGACTGGCCTGAACAATTCAATGGAGCATGATTAAAAATCAAGAAAATGGCGCAAAACAATTTCTGTGTTTCTCCAAATTATTATTTGTTCACGGAATCTCCAAATTCCGCAGCTCATCTATCGCCTTGCAAAAAATCAGACTCATATGTCATTTCAGTCAAAAATGACAACCTTTTCAAAAGTCTCATAGGTTTTGAAACACCCTGTAATTATAGATACTGGCTAAGACGTGGTCTCATATCATAACTAGCAATTTTGAGCATTTTTGCATGCACGTTTGAAGTTTTAGGTGACCTTGAGACATAATTTCTGTCTGAAAAATTAACTTTTGCATGGAAAACTGTCTGGAAAAGGTCATTTGCGCTTTTTAATTATTTTTTGTCTGTCCGAATTTTTTTGCTACTAATTATAGATACTGGCTCTTTTTGATTATTTTTTGTCTGTCCGAACATTTTGCTAAAAGGTAGCAAAAAGTTGGAACAGACATGAATAAACAAAAAGAGCAGCCTATCATGTTTGAGCTTTTTTATGCATGCAAAATTGAATTTTTAGGTCATACTTCTGTCTGAATAATTATCTGTTGCTTGCAAAAGTTTTCTGAAGTAGGTCATTTGATATTCTTAAAAAATCCTGTTTGTTCCAACTTTTTGCAACTCTTCGTTTGAACACTTCGATGAAATAATTACGAAAGCCAAGGGCTGCGTTCTAGCTTAACAGCTCGTATGCTGTTTATAAAAATTTTTTAAACAGTGACAGATAGATAATAAGTGCTAGGGATGTTTTGTGTCATAATAAGTGTTTTGTGAAATATAATAAGGCCCTCATCTCGAAATAAGAACAAAACTTTTTCTCCTGCAGTAATTTTTTTTGTAATGGAATAGAGGTTTGAAAGTTGCTAATTTGGCCAAAAATTTCTTTTGGCTAAAAATTCCATTTGGCCAAGAATGAACTGGTAGCGTAGGAAGCGAATTAATCCGGTTCAGTAAGCATTCCAAATTGAATTGAGGCCAGCTAACTGGTTTCAATATTGCGTTAATAGCTAAAAGATTAATCAACTGCGTTTTTGACACTGAATATGAAGGGGGGGTCGATTTTCAAAAAAGTCATTTTTAAAAATATATATTTAATTTTATTTTTGTTCACCTTAAATTACATCTGAAAATTTTCAGCCATTTAACTTGTCTGAAAGCTAGTTCAGATCTATGAAACTATATTTGCACCATATAGGACTTTGACCTGATACGAGCAGTGTTATACCTTCTCCTAGTGGATAAATAGACCTAACAAAAATATGCTTAACAACAGGTGCGGATTTAGAGGGGGGGGGGCGGGGGGGGGGGGGGCGGACGTTTTCTTTTCCTTTCAGGGATTCGACCCTTTGATACTTTTTATTCCCCCTTTGGTACTTTTTAAGAAATCCATTTTTGGCCGACCAACCATAAAATTTTTCTTAAGGCGCCTTGGGCGCCAATATATACTAATTTAGAGGGGGGAGCGCGCGCCAAAAAATGCGGCGCAGAAAATTTGGCTAAAACAGGGACTAAAACGTGCTTAGGGAGAGCTCGAAAAATCATTTCGGTCGATCTATCGAAAAAAAAGGTCGACAAAAATTTCGAAAATTTTAATAAATTTTTGAAAATCCTCCCCCCCCCCTCGAGAAAATCTTAGATACGCCCCTCCCTGACAACATCACAGCTATTGGAAAGTGAAAATAATTTTGGTTTAATTTGTTCTTTGATCTTCAACCGCAGTTGTACAAAAAAACATATACATATACCAAATTTCTGCTAACTCAGAAAAATACAATCGTCCAATCTGAAGTAAGTAAATGATGTGTAATGAAAAGCCAAGCGTTTATAACTTGAACATATAGGGCAAACTAATGACCTTCTCATAGTAAGGCTTGCATGCCTTGATATCCTCCACAATCTCCGGGTGTTCCTTGCCGATCTCTTCCAGATCTACAACTCTCTCTTTCGAATCCTCGAACCCTGTGGATTTATTAGCCCTGGCAAAAAACCCCAGCAACTCATTTACACTTCTGGCCGGTTTGGGTGCTACCCAGCTGGAGGGAAGTCCGTCACCCGCCTCCCAAGTGAGAAAAGACTCGGAGAATTCGATGCCTGCTTTTTCACAGATGGTTGAGACAACTTTGGTCGCACCGCTTGTCGTTGAAAGCTGCGATCCTGAAAACAAAAGTATCTAGTCTTCATTTGAATTGTGAATGGATTGCATTTTAAGAACACTCACAACAACAGCAGTTTTAAATTCAACAAGTATCGCAATCGCGAAAATTTTTGAATCTTTGTTGTATCTCTGTTGAATCAACTTAAGTATCACAAGCTCAGCCAAATTGAGTATTCACCGATGCTCAAAGTTCAAATGCTTTACATGAATGTAGATACAGCTGCAATAACTTACCATCGACAATCATGGGCGGTACACTACACATAAGGGCCACTTTCTCTACTCCCTGCAGAACAGCCCCATAATACACAGTCAGGTCCTTGTGGGTGCCCTTGGCCACCGCGTGGAAGTACTTGTTGCTAGTGGGCAGGAAAGACGTGAACACATTTGCTGGGTCACGCACCAAGAATACGTTGACCGAGTCCTTCTCAATCACCTCTTCGTATCTGCCGTTGAGTGCAAAAATGAAATCCTTCGATATTTTCACCTTGGCCGAGGAGTCTTGGAATTGTTTTATTGCCGAGTTAGTGTTGAAACCTGCCACAATAATTAACAGTTTTATTGCATTATTTGAACCTTAGTGGGCGAGTTTGATCAACTGAGCAGCTAAATGTCGAATTGTATCAGTTTGGGCAGATAAAGCCATGTTTTCCTGTTTACAGAAAGTTTTTACCAAATATTGCCCGGGTGGAGATCCCAGACTCATGTCCAGACTTTAAGGGTCGCGCCACATCCGGATTTAGACCCAAATTGCATAGTCGCACCGAGAGTTTGACTCTGGAAAGTGGGCAGCGAAAGTCTGGACATACCAAAATTTGGTCGCGAAAGTCTGGACATACCAAGGGCATCCATTTTTGCGCCAAAGGTTGGATATTTTGGCGTGCGCGAAATAGCGACCTAGCACATAGCACCCAATATGATACCACTCACGTTTGCATAACATATGTTGATAAATAGTCTTGTCACCCTCATAGATTGGGATCAACCGTACAATATTCCCTCCCCAAATCGGTTTTGTAGCCTACCTAAATAGAAGAAATTTGTATAAACTATTTCAAAATGATTATATTTTGAGCGTATTTACAAATTGCGTATTTTCCAATACAGAATAAATCGTCAGAAATAATACATGCTTGGGAAGGGCATTCTACCGTAGGTCAATACCGAAGGGGGAGGGTTTTTTGGGAGGGAGAGAGATTGTACGGTTGATCCGCAGATTGCTGCAATTGTGCAATGATCCTACTTCATTCCCATTCAATTATGAGATTTGTCACAGATGAACTAATAGTTGCGCCAGATCTACTTAACAATTACCCCAGCCCCCCCCCCCCCTTAAGAAAGGGGAGGGGGCAATTGTTAAGTAAATTAATAAAACGCGTTTTCGACCAATCAGACTGCAGCAAAATTAGAAGTCTCAATACAAAGCTCTAGCGCTAATTTACTGCTTTTATTAAGCATTTCTTAAGTAGGTACCAAAGGGAGGGCAATTGTTAAGTAGATCCGTTGCGCCTCCGATAAATTCGGACACAAAATTAATTAAAAATTCGGAGTTGCAAAAATTCGGACACAAATTAATTAAAAAGAGCAATTGTTCCATTTTGACAGATTTTTACAACAAATTCGTTTTTTAGACAACCTTTGGCCTAAAATTAGGTTTTGCATGCAAAATTTTTCCAAAGTAGGTCAATTGCTCTTTTTAATTAATTTTGTCTGTCCGAACTTGTTGCTAATTATATAGTTCATGCCAAATTGTTGGCAATATATTTTCGGTCAACGAATCTGAACAATATTAATTAATCTAAAACTGCTCATTTTGACGTCGGGATTTTCACTGATTTCCACACGTAGGATCCGTGTTAGAAAGTTAATTAACCTAAAATGTTACAGTTTTTACCGATTCAGTTGCTCAAGTCACCGAAATTGCCAACAATTTGGCATTAACTACAGAATGCTGCTTCAAGTTCAATTTGATCTGAGTTACCTGGTACAACATGCTCATGTGCTTTTGGGGCCATCTGGTCTCGGTGTTTTGTGAACATGCTATCTTCATCTCCGAGGTAGAATGCCCAGAGGAAGTTCTCGAAAAACACTTGCGAGTCGGAGATGTTGGAGAGACATCGAACCAGAGCAGTGGACCTCGACCGAGGGACGAACCAGATATTAATCTGCACCATTTTATAATCAGCGAGCACTATGACTATGAGCTTCAATTGGTTATCAAGTGTATTTTACACCGAACGAAGTAAACTAACCACTTAAAGGCTCTGATTCTAAATCACAATCTGGTAAGGTTGAATAGTTGATCAAATAGACTTAATTGGTATGGTGTGTCATTGAGCAGAGCGCAAATGAATCCGAATGCTTTGACCGTTGACGCAGAGACATTCCGTAAGAACCTTGATCAGTTATTTAATTTAATTGACACTCTGATTTTTTAATTTTACCAATATCGCAAATTTAACATGCGAACAAGTAAACTGAAGTTATATAGCTGAAGGTGCACCGTGCGGATATATTGGAGTCTATCTGCTAACTGATTATTCTGCTTTATCACGAAAGTCAAGGCAGTTGAACCCTCAATATTTTGGTCAATAGCTTTATTTTGACTCACAAAGTACAAAATAGGGAGTGCGGTCAGTATTTAGACAACCGCTTATTCATACTCGTCAGTAAGCAGACAAATACTGTAATAACCAATCAGAATCGAGACGGGAAAGCGAACTTTCGAAATAAATAATTATTATTTATTAATTTCTTCCTTGTCTCGATTCTGATTGGTTAATTGTGTTTGTCTGCTTACTGACGAGAAGGAATACGCGGTTGTCTAATTACTGCTAGGTAACCACTAGATAGGAACTAAAAGTTGAGCATTGTTTTGAAAGCATTACATATTTTACCAGATGAAGCAATCAAACAAGTGATATTTGCTACGTTTGTAAGCTTAAGTAAAAACTTCATCATTTAATTGAATTTCAGAAAAAGAAGGAACATCGAAAGATGTCGCGAAGGGTTTTACGAAGTATACCAGGGTACTGAGGCCCCGGGTTGACCTACATAGACCGAAAATGCTAATCATACAATTTCATACACTTAGTCTATGGAAAAATGCTAGTCATACAAATTTCATACATTTTTGCAAAATGAGTTTAATCGAATTTCAAAGGTATTTTATAGTTGTTTTGGTATCGAAATTGGTATCTCTTCATAAAAAAGGGGAAAAAATTATATGAAAAAAAAAATGCTAACCATACAATTTCCATATATGGAAATTGTATGATTAGAATTTTTTTTAAAATTTTTTGTGAAAAAAAAAGCTTTGATCAATCAATTCAACTGCTGGCAAAACATTTAAGCATTTTTTGGGCTGCTACGACTGAAAACTTTGACTTTTTTAGTTTTTGTTTTCTGAAAAAAAAACACTAGTCATACAATTTCCATATATGGAAATTATATGACTAGCATTTTTTTGATGGCGACTAGCAATTTCAAAGTATTTTTGAAATTGCCCCCAAAAATTTTTTTGTTTTTTTTTTCAACCGCAAATTGATTTTCGTATTCAAACAAACTTTTTTTTGAAAAAAAAATTTGCATGCTAATTTTTTTTTTTTGTGTGTGTGTGTGCGTATAACGTAGTCCTGGATATACTAATATTGGATTTTTTTCCCTTTTTTCATAACGTTTTTCAAAAACGCTTGAAACTCCTCTTTATTCTGTATGACATGTTTTTGTATGCCTTGATCAATGTCTGGTAATTTAAAAATTCAAATTTTAGAAATAATCATCTTTGAAAATAATTGCCAAAATTTAAAAGTTCATTACTTTCGTTAAATTATCTGTCTGAGACAGAAGTAACACATATCAGGCTGTTTCCTATGCATTTTTAATGCGAGACGGTCCAACCGTTGGTTACTACATTTGAGTAGTCAAGGTTTATGTCATTTGTATTCGGTTACGAACACAACCAAAAAAATTTGAGAAATTAAAGTGTAAAAAATAAATATTTTTGGTTTATGGAAAAATGCTTGTCATACATTTTCCATATATGAAAAAATACTAATCATAGACCTTTCATGCAATTTTCTGTACGTATATAATTGTATGGAAAGTGTATGACTAGCATTTTTCCATATATGGAAGTTGTATGACTAGTATTTTTGGTCATCCCGGGGTGAAACTAATGATAAAAAACTGATTCTGTACAGGTTTCAATTACTTTCATAATTTTTAAGTTGATTTTTTTTCATAATTTTACTGACAAATTAGGGATCTTGTTTATTATTTCCCCCCTTTTTGGTTCATGTTAACTTCCCATCCCCGCCCCCCCCCCCCCTGCATGTATTATTTTTGACAACCATTTCTGTTTAAAATATGCATTTCAAAAATGTCAACAATAAAGTGGGTTTTCAATTTGGCGCGTTTGTTTTTGTATTACTCACTATTACATGATACCCACGTAAAAAATTTTAAATTTTATATTAGGCTATTGAAAAAGTGGCCGCCAAAGTTGAATTTCTGAAAATCGAAATGGGGTGGGGATAGTTAACAAGATCCCATATAAGGTTTAATAAATAACAAACATTAATTTTAGCTGGTCATGATGTGCCAGATAATTACATCATGGATAATGATGAATGGGTTAATTTTGTCTTCGGTTTAATTTTGAATACTAAAATTTGTTTAAGGACGGTCTCTGGTTTGTGAAGGGTGTCTTTTAGTGCTCAAAGGTGTAGAACTTACCACTAATTCACAGTGGGGCCGCAATCGAAATTCATTCTGAGCTCTCGAAAGTCATTCTGATCATTTAGGAGTGTTTTCAGACTCTCAAGTATAACGAATACTCAGAGACCTCATCGCGGACCGGGGCTGTCACTAAAAAGCAATGACAAAAATCTTTTTTTTTAAATGGACCCTAGCTATTTAATTTTTTATGTAAAGTTTTTGCTTTGATCATATTACACTATTTTGAGATTTTTTAATGATGTTTAGGGGCGTAAAATTAAGACCTCTGGCCTGTTGATGATCCTATGTAATCTGTTACGCCTACTAGAACATAAATGAATATAAAAACTTAATTGCATTGCCAGCTAAAAGTCTTAAATTTTTAGGAAACTTAAAAAAGAAAGACATATTTAGGACTGTAATCGCTTGTGATCTCTAAAAGATCATAAGTAAAACTTACTCTAGTGAAAAACTAAAAAACGAACAACTATGAATAAATCTGTAATGCTTTTGGTGCGGTTTAGAAAACGAAAACCATCTGCCTGTAATACTGAAACTTTGAGCATATTAGCAACTAAAAAACGTAACCAGATATAAGTTGGCACAGAGAAATTGAAAAACATAGCCAGTAAACAGTTTCAATCAAGCAACTCGAGGAAGTCGAATATATCTTATATATTAAATGGACGCAATGTTTAACTGAGCGCAATGTTTTAGCTTTTTCGAATGCAAGATTTAAGTAAGTCTTTAGGCTAAACGTTGACGAGAAGGCCAAGAATGTTCTTGAACTTTTAAATTTACTAAAGTCTGGAATATTTTAGATTTATTTTTGACAAAAATTCAATTCTTTAGACAAGATGAACTCAATTCTTTTTCAAAAAAAGACAGTGCTGGTCCAATGTTTCCAAAATTTTGCCTTTTCAGATTGTTTTCATTTTGAAACGAACCAACTAAGAACAACAACCTCCTTGCTAGAAAAACTAACTTTTTCCAAACCGATTTGCACTATGAAACTGTTTTGAAATATATCAAAATTTCATCGCTTGAATATCTTGCTTAGAAAAACATAAATTTTCGCAAATCGATTTGCTCTTTGAAAACTTAAGATAATTCAAATTTCCTTTGCCTCAATAGCTTGCTTAGAAAAACTGAAACTTCTCGCGAGTCGATTTTGATTTTCTCTATGGAACAACTTGACATATTTTAAAATTTCATCACATGAAAAGCGTGCTCACAAAATTTTTGAAATATTTCACGCCATTTTATTGACCGTATCGTTTAAAGCAGAACTTTTCGCAAATTTTTTTCAGCAAATTTTTCGCAAATTGATTTGACTTTTGAAATAACTTGAGATACTTAAAAGTTCCAGAGCTTTAATAGCTCGCTTCGATAAATTAAGTTTTTCGCAAAACCATTCGGTCCATAAACTTACTCGACATAGTTCAAAGTTTCATAGCTTTAAAAGCTTGGTAAAAAAACTTCAACTTTTCGCAAACCGAATCAGTCTATGAATTAATTTGAAAATTTTTCATAGCTTCAAAAACTTGCTTAGAAAAACTTCAACTTTTCTCAAAACGAATCAATCCATGAGTTAACTTGAAAACTTTTCATAGCTTTAAAGCTTTCTTGGAAAAACAAAACTTTTCATGAACCCATTTGGTCCACAAAATAACTTGAAAAGATTTTGAAATTTCATAGCTTTAGAAGCTTGCTTAGAAAACTTTAAACTTTTTGAAAACTGATTCAATTTGTAAAACAACTTGAACTATTTTAAATTTTCTAGCTGAAAAAGCTCAAAAGCTTGCTTAGAACAACTTAAGTTTTTCGCGAACTGATTCAATCTAAGAAATAACGTGAAATATATCGACGTTTTCTTGCATTAATAGCTTCCACAGTAAACCTAAAACTTCGCCATCCAATTTGCTTCATGAAATATTTAAAATTTCCATAGCTTGCTTAGAAAAACTTCATTTTTTCGCAAACCGATGGGTACTATGAAACTTAAAGTTTTTCAAAACGATTTACGATATGGCTCAACTCGAAACTGTTTAAAGTTTCATTGCTTGAATAGGTTGATCAGAACAGCAATTAAATTTGAGCGAGTCAATTGATTATTGGAGGCGGGCTTGCTAATATATATTGTGTATATGTGTGTGCGTGTGAGTGGGTGGGTTTGTGTATGTGTGTGTGCGTGTGTGTGTGTGTGTGTGTGTGTGTGTAAATATAATCAGCTTACTCAAATTCCTTGATTCAAACTGTCTGTTTGCTATGTTTTTTCATTTTCTCATTGCCAGCCTATATCTGATTACGTTTTTTAGTTTATAATTTGGTCAAAATTTCTGTATTACAGGCAGATAGTTTTCGTTTTCTAATCCATACCAAAAGCAATCCAGAGAGTTACAGATATTAGCGTTTTCATTTTTCTCTTGAGTGAGTTCTACTTATGACCGTTTTTGAGATCACAAGCTATCATAGTCTCAAATCTGTGTTCACACACACGCACACGCACACCTGCACACACGCGCACACACACTCTTGCACACACATACACGCACGCACACATAATGTCACACACAACAAGT